AACATGACAGGGGACATATGAGATGATAAGTAAACAATAGAGAATAAAAATAATGGAGGAAGAGTTGAGGAAAAGGTCTCCTTTGAGCTAAGATAAAGTCATTTCCTTAGCCAGATCTAAGGGTTTAACTCTTAATTTAGAGGCACCAAGAAGTTACAACACATAGTGCTACTTGAAGCTTATTTTATAGATAACATACTTAACCGTTAACAGATTCAGTTAGCTGTTTACAGTTTAGTTAACTGGATATAGTTCTCAACCCACATGGGGTCAGACATTTTCAACAAATCTTTTTATTTTCTCTATAGAATTCAGAGTTAAAGAACTCCTTAAAGGATACACAAAACTGTCAACAGTAGTTAAGATTTCAGTGGTCTGGGGGTGAATTCCAGGTAAGTAGTCCCTCTTGTCAAATGTTTCTTTAACAATGCTTGCAGCTGTCTTGACGTGACAGCCATCACAAAAGCCAATATTAATCAGATCACTAAAGGGACACAAATAACTGACACTAGCCAAGAAAGAATTCAAAGATATTTTTGAACTAGTTTGGGGCCAACTTTTGTGTGAGAAGAGAAGAGGAATTGAGTTCACTTCATCTGGTGTTAACTGAAATAAGAGTTAATGTGCGAAATATCTTCATCACTGACTAAAACTAAGATCACAGATTAGAGCGCCAAAGGGTGTGTGACTAGAAGGAAGTGTCAGCATTGCAGAAAAGAATGCAAAACCAGGAGGATCTCATGTTAACAGCTGGCTGCCTAATGGATAAGAAATACGGTCAGAACACAAGGAAGGAGACTGGCGAGTAATGAAGCTGAATTTAAAGGCTTTCAGCAAAGCCACCTTCTCTTGAAGAATTACCACTCCTCCTGCTGCCCTCAGGACAATTCCTGAGCGTGCTGGTGAGAGGCTTTTGTTCAATCATCCCCAGGGTCCTTCAGCTCTTCCTTCCCTGATAAAGTAGAGGTGAAGATCAATTTTACCTAAGTAAACATTTGGTTCTCACAGCCATAAGAGAGAACATTCGGTTATCACAGAAGTACGTACAACTTCTCTTAAGACAGCTCCGTTTTCCTAAACACAGTGTATGAACCCCCAAGATCCTACAATGTTCCCTGGAGTCAGTTTAAAGTGTTGAGTCCTCTCTGGTTCTAGGATTCTAGAAGGATCAAAGTTTATTAACAAATCATATAGCAACTACGGCTGCCCAACTTTTCCACACAGTTTCATCTCTGTAACTACATCATGCTAATGCAATTACTATCAAAATTTAAATAAGTTTTTTTCATAGACATAGACAAGCTTACTCTAAAATTTAGATGGAAAGGGAAAGACCGAAGAATTGCTAAAAAAAAAAAAAAAAAAAAAAAAGAAAACAAACAAAAAAAACTAAAAACAAGAATAAAGTGGGAAGAATCACTCTTCCCAATGTTAAGGCCCAATATGTAACTGCAGTATCCAGACAGTATGGTACTGGTAGAGGGAACAGGCAAAGCAATCAGTGGAACAGAATAGAGAACACAGATATAGCCCCACTCAAAATTCCCATTAATTTTAAACAAAGAAGTAAAAGCAATGCAATAGAGGAGAAATAGCCTTTTCAATAAATGGTGCTGGAGCAATTGGACCTAAACCAATACCAAAATCAATTGAAAATGGATCATGGACTCAAACGTAAACATACAACTATATAAGAGAAAAATCTTTGGGGTGTAGGACTAAGCAAAGTTCTTAGACTTGACATCAAAAGCATGAGCCATAAGAAGAAAAATTTATAAATTGGATCTCATCAAAATTAAAAACTTTTGTTCTGTGAAAGGCTTTGGACAAAGGATCAAAAGACAAATTACAGACAGGAAGGAAATATTTAGAAATTACATATCTAAGAAAGGTCTTGATCTAAAATATATAAAGAACTCTCAACATAAAAAAAAAAAAAGGGACAGCTGTCGTCTGAATGTTTGTGTCTCTCCAAAACTCATGTGTTGAGATCTAAATCCCAAGGTGATGGTATTAAGAGGTGGGACCTTTGGGAGGTGATTAGATCATGAAGTGGAGGGCTCATGAGTGAGATCAGTGCCCTTATAAAAGAGCCCGAGGGAGCTTATCTGCCCCTTTCACTAGGTGAGGACACCGGGGGAAAGGACTGTTCTAGGAAACAGGAAGTGAGCACTCACCAGACACCAAATCTGATCTTGGACTTCCAGCCTCCAGAACTGTGAGAATTAAATTGCTGTTGTTTATAAGTCATCCAGTTAGCAGCCTGAGTGACCAAGACAAGGGCTTAAGGCCTCCTTCAGCACCATGTTTTATGATATGTGTTCTGTGAACCGTTTGACTTCGGATCTTAGGGGAGGAGGAGGTAGCAGAGGGATTGGTAAAATGCCGATTCCTGTATACCACTCCAGAAATTCTGATTCCATAGATTTGGGCAGGACCTGACAAATCTGCATTTAAAACAAACTTCTTGGGAGTTTTTTTTATCATTATTATTAAAGTTTGAGAACTCCCACCATGGCCCAATCTACCAAATTATAAAGGAAGAGCGTGCTGGACACAGTGGCTCATGCCTGTAATCCCAGCTTTTTAGGAGGCTGAGGAGAGTAGATCACTTGAGGTCAGAAGTTCAAGACCAGCCTGGCCAACATGGTGAAACCCCATCTCTACTAATAATACAAAAATTAGTTGGGCGTGGTGGTGCGTGCCTGTAATCCCAACTACTTGGGACGCTGAGGCAGGAAAATCGCTTGAACCCAGGAGGCAGAGGTTGCAGTGAACTGAGATCACGCCACTGCACTCCAGCCTGGGCAACAGAGTGAGAATCCATCTCAAACAAACAAACAAAAGAAGAAGAAGAGCAGCATTAGAAAGAAAACCTGGACTGTGATAGTTGTGCCCTAAAGGGACAAGCAAAAAGAAAGGGGATAAAGACTAGCAACAACCCAGAAGTGCTGTGAACAACAATTTCTAAGAAGTGACCATTCTCTATATTTATTAGGATGTGGAAGAAATGAAGTTCCCTCTCATACACACACATACGAGAGTACAAGTCTGAGGAGAACTTGCTCTGGGTGAAAAATTTTTTTAATTCTCATATTCATGCTCAAGGAGCAAGGCATATGTTCACAAGGGGCAATGAGAGCCCTGGAGAGACCAGGTTCTCTGAGGGTAGGACACATACTTTGGCAACTTGGGGGACACGTTCTTGAGCTGAACTGGTGTCTCTGGAGCCCATATGAGTTGGGCCTGTGGGGGCACCACAGACAGGGACCCCCGCATTGCTGATAAGTGAAGGGTCTGCCACAGAGGTCTCTAACATGACTTTCTACCACCACCTTTCCCGCTCACTCGCACATCAATAGACACAGGTATATTAAGCGGCAGCTCTTCCTCACCTTGTCATCAAACAGTCTGTTTCTGCCTTCACCATTCTGCATCTGACCTTTCACAGGTAGCAAGAGAAGAGCCTAAGGAGCAGCAGGCAACATGCTGAAGTGCAGAGCCAGGTCAAGGCTGGGTTTGTCTGCGCAGCTGGTGAGTAAGAGGCTGTGACCGCGGCTCTGAGAAATATGGACAGCAGCCAGCCTGACAAAGAGAACAAAGAACTGCCCAGGGGAAGGTGAAGAAGGTAACTGTCAACCCTTCAAAAAGTGAAATGGCCTTTAGTAAGATGAAGGCCAGCCCATAAGAGATGCCAGCCAAGATGGAATAATGCGCAGATTTTCATCTAAGGGTAGGAATGACCTGTTGGCCTGATCCAGGCACCTGGCTTCTGAGATTCCCTTCCTAGCCCTGCCCACACACCCCGCACCAGACGCCCTTTCCCCAGCCTAGGTCTCTGAGTTTCTCATCCGTTGCTCACTTGTGTCTATTGTACGTCTTCTTCGTCAAAATCGACGGGGGCTAATTAGCGGCGAAAACAGAGACTTCAGCTCATTTCCGTTCACCTTATTATTTGTTTCTCTTTTGGGCTGAAGCCAAACAACAAACAAACATTAGCATTCCCCCTGCAGAGCAGGCACATAGACACATGGGAGCATGTTATACACACCACACCCTCATAGCATGCACACATGTACACGCACACGCACACACACCTGCTCCACTGCTACTCGGCTGTGCGAGGTCTCTGCGGCCCCGCTGTCTCGGGGCATCTAGGGTAACACCTCTTTCCATTTCAAACCCGGGACTGGGAAAAACGTAAGAAATTGTATAATGGAATGGCCCTGGGCAAGCAGGGAAAGGAGGTGGGAATTTCCGGAAGCGCAATCCCCCGGGCCAGGACTGGTGTTAATTAAGGGCGCTGCTGGTGTTTTGCAGGCAGCTGTTTCCTCCTCCGGCCCTCCTGTTCCCCGGGCCGCCTGGGCATCGACGCCTGCACTCTGGCATTCATTGCTCTACCGTAAGCCTTGTTTCTAGCCGTTTTCAATCAAGTGGGAGACCGTCCAAATTTCCTTCTCAATGAAAATCAACTGTTCTAAATCCAAGCTCCCATTAAGCGTTCCAGGGGCTGACCTGACTTGGAATTTAAGCAGCAGCCCCGCCCTCCCTGGAGGGAGCGGCAGCTGGGGCTCCAGATGAGGCGGGCCTGCCTCCTAGTGGCCAAGGTGCTTCACGGCAGCTCTGAGGGCTCGCGGGCTGTGCAGCCGCCACCCGAGGACACTGGGGGGAGGCACAGTAAGAGAATCCTTAGAGTCTAACTCCCCTGTCTCCGTCGCCCTCGAGCCGTTCCAGTCCCCAAGTCCCATCCCCTTTCCCTCCCCGACATCTCTCCTCGTTGCCCCACTCCGGCTCCGTCGAACTGCAGTGGTCTGTTAGCTGGACTCTACCTCCAGCTTCTGTATCGAATCCATACACCTCGCTGCCAATTCGTCTTCCGGACTCTTGTTGTCGATCCTCTATGATCTCTAATTAAGGCTCTGCTGAGCCTCCTCTTTATGTATAGGGAGGATCCCCAAGCGGAGAGTCACACCCTTCCTGGAGAGGAGTATCGCCAGCCACGACAAGGCGAGCTGCCTTTCTCCCCACAAGCCCAAAAAGGCGATGACCCTCCCCAGGCCGCGCTCGCGCTGAACCTCTGTTGCTGAGCTGCAGTTCCTGGAGGTGTCCTGTCGCTCAAACGTGGGGACGCGGGAAAAAGATTGAGAAGGTAAAAGTTCAAACCTCTTGGCCCTCCACAATCTGGCCTCAAGTTTCCCTTCTAGCCTTAGTGCTAGAATAGAATGATATGAAGGGTTAGAATGCCAGGTGTGCTACGTTTTAGTCACGTAACTATGAAAGGTTCTAAATTCTAAATGTCTTTACAAGGTTGTTATGGAGACTAAAAGAGGTCGCCTGAGTATCACATTTAGCACAATGCTTGCCACATAGTGAATGTTCAATAAATGGCAGCTGTCATTTTCCCTCCCCCGTTAGTGAGACAACTGGTTTGCTCACAGTTCTGATACCGGCCTCGAACTGAACTTTCCATCTCTGCACTTTGGCTTTTGACACCTTATTTGCCTGGAGCGTCCACTATCACCACTTTGGTCAAAGCCACTGTCACCTCCTGCAATAGACTAATTCATCTCCCTGCTCCCGCCCACAGTTTTTTTTTAATCTAGCAACCAGAATTGTTTTAAGTGTAAATCAGATTATGTCACTCATCTGCTCAAACCCCTGTTGTAGCTCCCCATTTCACTCCGTGTAAAAGCCAAAGCACTGGCCATGTCCTTGAGGCCCCACATGATCTGGCTGTTTTCCCCCCTCATATTATTTCCCATAGCTTTCTCCCTTGTTCACTCTATGTCTTCCACAGTGACCAATTGCTTTTGCTGGAACATACTAGTAATTTATTAATAGCCTTTGTGTTGGCTTTTCCCTCTACCCAGAATACTTTCCTCACATACCTGCATAGCTCTTTCCCTTACTTTTTCATGACTTTGCTCAGCTGGCACGTTCAAAAAAAATAAATAAATAAAAAGCCAGCCAGGCATGGCGGCTCAAACCTGTAATCTCAGCACTTCGAGAGATGAAGGCAGCAGATAACTTGGGCCCAGGAGTTCCAGACCAGCCTGGGCAACACAGCAAAACCCTATCTCTACAAAGAATACAAAATTTATTTTTTGTAGAGGACAGTGGCACACGCTTGTAGTCCCAGCTATTTGGGAGGCAGGAGGACTGCTTGAGCCTGGGAGGTTGAGGTTGCAGTGTGAGCCATGATCATGCCACTGCACTCCAGCCTGGGCAACAGAGCAAGACCCTGTCAAAAAAACAAATAAGTAAAAGCCAATCCTGCCCACATTTTTAACATTTCAAACTGCTGTACTTTCCCCCAGTACTTCCAATCCCCTTTATCTTGCCCAACTTCTCCTTTTCCATAGCACATACCATATTCCTTACTACCTTCTAAAATAATATATATAACGAAGCCAACCATTGGCAAATGAATCTCTCATAATTTGCTAACGGGAGTGTAACTTGTTACAACTACTTTGGAAATCTTTTAGAGAGTATCTACTAAAGCTAAAAATACCTTATTTTACTCTTGTATGTAAATCTAACAAATTGCAAATCCAACAAAAAGGAGTACTTTTTGTCGGATTTATTTTGGTCATTTCTGTAAATATAATGTTATATAATATAAGATATATACTTATATATTAGTTGCTTTAATCATATAGCTATATAATCATACAATTTATGATCTAATTGTGTCACACATAATAATCTTAGTTGCTTTAATCATTTCACTAAACTAGGAACAACCCAAATGTCAAGCTACAGTAAAATGAATAAATTTTTATTTTTTTTCAAACAATAAGTACACAGCAATAAAAAATAAATTATTCCTGGTATTCATTAACAACATGAATGAGTCCAGAATCTAATATTGAGCAAGAGAAGTTGGAAACCAAAAAATACCTCCTATATGATTTAATTTACTTGAAGTTCAAGAAAGACAAGACTTTAATGATAGAAGTCAGAATAGAGCTACTTATTTCTCTAACTGGGACGTAACCTAATCTTTCTGAAAACAGGGATAATATTCATCTTGCAGGACTGCTGGGAAAATTGCAGATAATGTATATCTAACATCTAGTACCAAGTTCCTAGCAGAGAATATTTGCTAATGAAATGATAGTTTGTATTCACATATGTTCTTAATTCATGTTAGTTCGATAATTGCCAAGTAAAAAGATAGTTTTACTAAACCCAAAGGTTCTGGTTGCATGTAACATTCATTGCCACCCAATAGCCATATCCCTTTTATTCCTTCCTAATAAAATCCATATTCTTTTTCAGGACACCTATGTGCCCAGCCCTGAAAGATAAAGCATGACAAGTCTAAGCCAATCAAGAAACTCTCATACTCCTTTGCCAGATATTCGCTCTCCCAACTCCTCCTTGTGGCTAGGGGTGCCTGTGTGCCCAGTTTTGGCCAATGAGATTTAAAGAGCAATTCTGGTGGCAAATTGCTTAGGAAAGATTTCTCCTCTTTACTGAGAGGAGATAGACACACACTCTCTAGCTACCTCCTGTTTTCTGCCTTTGCACAAATGATTCCCAGAGCTATGACAACCACATTTTTACCGTGAGAATCATAAAGGTAATGACACACAGTCCTAAAATAGCAGAGTTATCAGTCACCTACCTTCAGACTTTTTGTCCTAAGAGTTAATTATCTTTATTATTTAAGCCACCATTAGTTAATTATTCTGTTACTTGTAGCTGAAATCATTCCTAACTGTGACTGTTCCCTTATTAAGTACTAGTGTACAAAAGAGAATCATAAACTGATAAGACATCTTACTGTGCTCTCTTTAATTTTCCCAGTGTCTTCGTGGTGCTTTTATGAGTCTCCTCCTACCAGTTTACTAAAATGTCATTTTCTAGTCAAATATCTTTCAGTGGTATATGAACTCACTAACAAGACCAATAACTTTCCAAAGGCCTTTAGGGCTAAGACATACATTTAAAACTCTGGGAAATTCTACACAGTTGCTGACTCCTGTTGGAGGTTGACCAACTGCTAAACTCTGGCAGTAACACATATTAACCTACATTTGCCCACAAGCACACCAGAGTGCCAATTCTGTAACTGTAAATACACTGCGAACAGTTGGTCCATCCAAGCAGGGCTCATTCCTGGTTGGCAAGGCAAATTACCATGATGTTAATAAAGTTCTAGGCCCCCTCCCTTGCATAAGCCATTTTCATGCTTGGGACCCAAGCAATGTGTTCCCATAGTCATAAGCTTTTGTAAAACTTGTGAGCTAGGTTAACTAAAATCGGTTAAGACCTCTGTCTCTTTCCTCTCCAGCTTACCGTTTGTTACACTTGCTCTTCTGTAGGGTGTTAACTACAATCAGTTAAGACCTCTGACTCTTTCCTCTCCAGCTTACTGTCTGTTACATTTGCTCTTCTGTAGGGTGGTCTTTTTGTTTGTTTTGGAGATGGAGTCTTGCTCTGTCACCCAAGCTGGAGTGCAATGACGCCATCTCAGCTCACAGCAACCTCCGCCTCCAGGGTTCAAGTGATTCTCCTGCCTCAGCCTCCCAAGTAGCTAGAATTACAGGTGCACACCACCACACCAAGCTAATTTTTTTTTTTCGTATTTTTAGTAGAAATGGGGTTTCCCCATGTTGGCCACGCTGTTCTCAAACTCCTGACCTCAGGTGATCCGCCTGCCTTGGCCCTCCAAAGTGCTGGGATTACAGGCGTGAGCCACCACACCTGGTCAAGGGTGATTTTAAAGAGGCAAGGAGTGATTGGATTCAGCTAAGGGGAAGCTGACTTGAAGAGACATATAGTTTGGGTTAAGAAGGTTATTTATATGTGGTTCACTTCCATATCTAAGTTATTGTTAGCTATCGTGGTGCAGGAATGGCTTCCAGCAATATTTCCAATGCTCCTTTGCTACTCAACCAATATCTGCCAGACAGGTGCAACGCTAGAGGTCATATTGTGATTTTAATGTAACCTATTGTACTTGGCATTGGAAGTCTGTAGGTAATCACATAGACAAAGTTTTCAAAAGTATGAAACCAGAAGCTAGCCTGTGGAAAATTCTGCCAATCTTCAGTTATGTAAAAGTCTGAGCAGAGGATTTAATTCTCAAAGACGCCTGGTAAAAATGGAAGTTCTGTCCTGTCGAGAATATACATGATAAGCAGTATATGCAATTATAAACCCAATATTTTTTATTTTTGAGGTAAATCACACAAAATAGAATTTATCAGAAATCCTGTATTGTAGGACACAAACCAGTGCCAGGTTCACACTGACTGTGTCTGTTTAGTCATGTATTTTATACATCCCAATATGTTGGATCACATCGCATCCTGAAGACAAAGAGCAGATTTAGAGAAAAGAGAATGAAAAAGTATTCATCAATAAATTACAACAACCTAAAGAAACATTCCAGTGATAAAATCACCACAAATATTTATAAAATAAGCCCATGTACGTAGTATAAGAATAAGTAAGTAGCTTAATGCAATGATGTTTAAAATGGATTTTACTTACTCCTCTATGCACCTTAATTTCATGTAGCTTTGCGTATTTATTCAGAATTATTGGTTATATTAAAATTCAAAAGAATTATAAAGGTATATGTAAGACAATTCATTAATAAAAGAATTACATAATTTTTCCTGGACTTTTGATGTTTGTGACGTATTTGTCAACATTTTATTCTTTTTTAATTTTTCTTCTTTCATGACAGACACGGTATGTGTGGATGTTGTAACAGGGTTTGAAGGAAGTACATCTCACACAACTCACATGTGAGAACCCAATCATCACATTTATGAAACACAAAAGGATAAGCATTTTAAAATTTGTAATTTGTGGATTTTTCTCATTCCAAGTAAATAGTTGTTTACATACCCAATTTTTTATCTGTGTTTTTGTTTTAATTTTTTATTTCTTTTTTATTTTTTCTATTTTCTAGACAACCAATTTTTTATTCCTAACTTTGCATTCTTTTTCTTAAAGAAAGCCTTTGCCAAATTGTGTAAGCTCCTACCCCTGGTGATCAGGCAATAGTCACAATCAGTCAAAACTGCAAATGATATTTACCAATTTGGTTACCTTGGAAGTTCTTTCAATGTCAGGCTTTAAAACGGCAAGAGTATTCACTGAGGAGAATTGAAGCCACTTTATTGAATGCCCTACATAGTTTGTTAGGTGAACATAACCTAATGTTAAAATAGAACACTTCTCACCTCAGTTTCTCCAGAGGGACTGACATTGTAGCTCTCAGGTACCAATGTGTGCATGGGACAGAACACCGTAAGAGGAATCTAAAACAAAACAAACCCTGATGGGTTTGGTTTCAACATTCAAGGTCATTTATCCAAGGGCTTCTTTCTCTCTTCAAGAATAGAAAAGATTTGTTGCAGAGTAAGAAGAAAGAAGAAAAATTCTAGTGAGAAGGATTTTTTGGAAGTTTTTGCTGTAAGCCTGAAGTCCTGTATCTCAAGAGGAATTAAGGGGTGAGGGGACACCTGAACCTCCCTCAAGTTTTGAGGGCCTTCAACACGGCCATTCTGAGAGTCTAATGTGAGTCACCTGAAGTTTGAAAGACAGTGAGCTGAGGGCTGATTTCTGCCCCAGAAAATCTGTAGAGTAAGAGAGAAGCTGGCCAATTGTGTTGAGGATGATGAAGCCAAAGCAAGTAGCTGCTACCTCTGGGAAATTCCTGCAACCCCAAGCCCCTGCAGTGGAAGGACAAGGCGTGGTCCCCCAGTGTACGACAGGATAGAGGACCAGCGATCCTGAGGCTGTGTGAGGCTCTATCAGAGAGGACCTCCTAGAAGGGGCAATGGGACTCCACAGTGTGTGGGGGTGGATCCTCTAAAGTGGGGAGCTGTCAGCAGAAGAAGGGGCATCAACACAGCTCCAGAGATCCCACAGAGGGGGTACCCCCCAAAAGAGTGCTCAAGAGAATATCAGCTTTAAATGTCAGCCCACACTCAGCACCAAGTCAAATTATGGCAGATAGGGCTGAGTAAGAAAATTCCCTTCTACTATTTTTGATTCCTCTCTTTATGTCCCAACCCTAGGGGCAAGCCTAATGAGGAAGAGGAGCAGGAAAAGAGAAATGAAGGACCAAGCCTTCCTCTCTCACTGCAGGCAGCCAGCTCATACTGGGGCTGCCCAAGAAAGGGAGACAATTCAACATTAAATAAAATTCAAAGTTTTAGATTTTTCCAGGGCTCGATATTCTAATGTGTGGATTGGGCTGTGTTTGTAACTTAAAATGACCACAAGACAGACTGTAAATTACCTTGGGGTGAACTGTATTCATCCAAGGCAGGAAAAGATTACCATACAAAATAAACTTTATAGGATCAATAAGAACAAAAGTCAGGTTGTGTTTTTATCACATTCCACGTGTCACATTTGTTCAAGACTTTTGTTACATTAAGAAGAACCTATTAGAAAGCCATAAATAACTTAAAACTTTAATAATGGTATTGATCTGATATCACTTTCTGATTGTTTTTCATTGGGCTTTAGTGAAATCCATATTCCTAAGTGGGCAGATTCATGTCTCTGTCTTGATATTAATCTGAATCATTCATTCATTAACCCAACAAGTATTTATTGAGATCTAACGAGGTTAGCTTCCTAAGCTCTACTTTGGTCATGTCCAAGACCCCTACTCAAGAACCTTCTGTGAGTCCTCACTGTTTACAGCAGACAGGAATAACAGTGGGGTAGGGCTTTACCTCACCTCACCTCCCTCTCCCACTGTGCGTTCTGACATATGCCTTAGGTGCTGGGGGGCCCTTACCTCCCCGTTCAACAGCCCACCCCCAATGCTGCCCTAAAAGCCACTGTGATGTGTCAGAGGATTCATTTAATTTGCTCTTACCAGAGCCCCTATCCTTTGCCCACCTAAATCACTTGGATAAAAAGGGAATTGAATTATATTTCATTTAGATTCAACTTACATTTTCTCTTTTTTTAATTTATTAAGCCAGGAATATGATATTCTCTCTTGGCAGCAGCCCAGCGATAATCGTTTAAGCCCAGATCCTTTCTCTAATGCCGTATCCTGGGGAGGGAAAGCTTATGGGGATTTCATGAGTGGTCCTGGTGAAATGACAGTTTATTTATCTCCAGGGGCTCTTTAGTCTCCACCTCTTGCACCTGTCCCAACAGAAGGTTTGGAGGCTTTGGGGTCAAAGCAGTTTGATTGGGAGAAGAAGGACAGAACAGCAGTTATAAATGTCTGACTACAGCCCACTTGTAAGAGATCTTTGCCGTTCACACAAATGAAGTGGACTTCAAATGCACTATTCTAGGACAATATGCCTCCCTAGTGTCTCCCATGTGGCCGCCATATACCCCGTTTGGAAGAGAAAATTGTTCCTATGCAGCTTGTTTTATTTTTGTTTAATCAAATAAACAAGGGTTTTTCCATGTCAAAAATAAAATAAAATAAAATGAATTTTTGGCCAGGCGCAGTGGCTCACGCCTGTAATCCCAACACTTTGGGAGGCTGAGGCGGGTGGATCACTTGAAGTCAGGAGTTTGAGACCAGTCTGGCCAACATGGTGAAACCCTGTCTCTACTAAAAATACAAAAATTAGCCGGGCATGGTGGTGTGTGCCTGTAGTCCTGCTCAGGAGACCGAGGCACAAGAATTGCTTGAACCCTGGAGGCAGAGGTTGCAGTGAGCTGAGATCACGCCACTGCACTCCAGCCTGGGTGACAAGAGCAAGACTCCGTCTCAAAAAAAATAAATAAATAAATAAAAAAGAATTTTTGAATTAAGCGTGATTATCCTTTTGCAGCTTGTTGTACATTCAAAATACAAGTATTGGAAGATAAGATTAACACCTGTATTCTGTGCTTTTTAAATTTTTTTTTTATTATTAGTGTTGTTACTCAATGTAACAATCACTTACTAAGCTACAGTGCTAAACATCAGGGATTTAAAAGATCAACAAGAAAGGGGTTGGAGAGGGGGAGATTCGCGCTGAGGGAGTAATCCAGAGAGGCGGGTAGCATGACCATAATCTTCAGCAGTTACCCGAAAGCCACCCAGGTAACATGATGAGGATGAAAATAAACAGAAAGTGAGAAATCTGGTGAAAAAATTAAAATGCTGCCTGGCATGGTGGCTCACACCTGTAATTCCAGCACTTTGGGAGGCCGAGGTGGGAAGATCACTTGAGCTCAGGAGTTGGAGACCAGCCTGCATAGTATAGCAAGACTTCACCTCTACAAAAAAATAAAAACTAGCCTAGCGTGCTGGTGCATGCCTGAAGTCCCAACTACTTGGGAAGCTGAGGTGGGAGGATGGCTTGAGCCTGGGAGGCAGAGGCTGTAGTGAGCCAAGATTGCACCACTGCATTCCAGGGTGGGTGACAGAGCAAGACCCTGTCTTTAAAAAAAAAAAAGAAAGAAAAATGCTATCTTTATTGATCTAAGACCTGTAATTTCAAGACATATGCTTATTATGAAAATGCAGCTTCAAGACAAGACTTAGTCTCTTCTGCCCATCATATTTTAAAGCTGCCACAAAAGAAGTTTACGGTCTGTCGGAGTAAGAGATTGATGTGTGCACAAATAAATTACAAGACAGTAAATGCTATAATAGGGCAATGTATTTTCCTAATGAACCCTTTGTGGGATGGATCAAGAGTATTCATTTTCTTCTGGTAAACAGCAATCTGAACCCAAGAGATAATCCTTTCTCAAACACCCGATCAGCAATCAGCCAGCACTAATGTCTTGATATTTCTCAGGAATATACTCTAGTGGTTTCGCCTCCTGGAAGACGCTGTGAGGAAGATTGTCCTTGCAGCCCTGAGCCTGTTGCCACTCCTTACTAAGGGCCTTATTAAGGGCATGCCCAGAGCCATCACAGTCTGCTCTGTTTGGAAAGGGGTCTGGGCATCAAGACTTATCACTCTGAATACTGTGGGATTTTCTTCTACCTAAGACAACAGAAAGAAGCAATCCCATTAATGTGCGCTTTTCAGGATCTGTTGGGTTTTTCATTTGTTACTGCTTTGGGAACTTTTTCTGTGTGCCAGCACAGGGCTACGCACTGGACATACCACGATGAGCAAGACGGATGTCCATGCCCTCATGGATCTTAGAGAACCTAAAAGATTCTCATTTCTCTCTGAATTCTTCACAGGATAAACTGCCCTGGCATTTTCAGTTTTCTTTTTCCTCCTTCGCCAGAAAGACTGACCCAAGCTTTCTCCTTGGGGGCTGCCCCCAAAAGACTAGCTCAGTGTTATTCACACACCTGCAGATAGTTGTCCAGGTATATGAATTTCAGTGCATGAAAATAACATGCTTTCCCTGTGTTATTCTCTATCACGGCACTCTGTGTACTATCTTATTGGTGCTTATAGGCTGAAGTAATTAATTTGTCTACTTGTTCATTACCTGACCTTCTCACTGGAATGTAAACTCCATGGAGGCAAAGACCGTCTTAATATTCTCAGCTGAATCCTCAGTTCCTAATAAGCCCCTTGCATGCCACAGATGCTCAATATTTGTTGAATTAATAAATACATAGAAAGAAGGAAGGAAGAGAGAAAGAGAGTCAGAAAATGTTATGCAAGCCTTACCAAAAATAGGGGAACCTGATTTCCTAAGGACTTTACATATTCTTGAATGTGTTCCATTTATAACGGAATCATAGGTCTGGCGCGACATCTTTGACCAATGTCCAGAAGTCTACTAGAAATTTTCCTGGACATTCTCTCAGGGAAAACACTAAGTGAAGTAGTCTGGGCCTTGTGGACCTGGAGTCACACAACTGGAAAAGGTTTATTAGTTCTTGATATCAGTGAGTAGAGAAGGAGAGAAAGAAACACAAACTCCTGGGCTCTAGGAAGCCAGCTCCACCTGTGGCTTAGATACATCCTTAGAAATAAGAGACAGGCAGGGTTTGCACGGGTCTGCAATGTTTTCCTTTAACCAAGGCCCACATTCTAATGAAATATATTTCTTGTTCGTATAAAACCACCCTTAAAAAGATTTTTTCCAACATCCATAAGTGTGTTTTTCTAATTAGAGTTGACATAGGCTGAGAGTGAACCTATGTAATTGGCTAAGCAAGGATGCGTGCAGACGATGAGGCCATTATTGCAAGGAAATGCATATAATCAGGTAAGTATGATCCCTCAGAACTACAACGTTGGCGTGGGTTAAGAATTTTAGATATTTGAAGTTATTGGTTTATTCATATTGTATGCATTTATTAAACATTTATTAAGCACATACTTATTCAATTACTAACATGGATGACTAAACCAAATCATGCCGGTTGGGGAGGCAAATGGTAGTGGCCACTACTGGGTGTCTCGGATGCTTAGTGGAGCTGTTTCATGATGCCATGGATTGGAGGTGCAGACGCACTGCTCCTGCACCTGGAGTGCAGTATTTCCCAGTGCATCTCCTGTGGGGTGAAAGTGCTTTTTGGTGCTATTGAAGGTACATGGGCATCATACAAAAAGCTTACATCAGAAGATACATTTTACTGCTGTTTATCAGTAGCCATCTATACGAAAATGCTGGTGAGGTCACTACTTGGATAATGTAGTACAAATGCAAACACTGGTAAGCAATCTAAATTATAACCACTTCATGTGTAAGAGAAGCACAAGGCCAGGCAGCCATTTGTAGGTAGATTACACTTTCAGTGCTAGAGCCAGAATTCACATTTCTCTGGATTTCCGGTTTGCTAGCAGGTACCATGTATGTAAGGTCCTCCTCTGCATGATACTGGGAAATAGTGGTCCTGGCACCCTTGCTTGTCAAGCAACAACAGCATAGCTGTCCTATCCCTAAACTGCCCCATGGAATTATGCCACTGTGCAGCCACTGTGGATCACTCTCTGGCATTGACTAATCTGCTACTGCTTTCTTTCTTTCTTTCTTTCTTTCTTTCTTTCTTTCTTTCTTTCTTTCTTTCTTTCTTTCTTTTCTTTTTCCTTTTTATTTCTTTTTTTATTTTATTTTATTTTATTTTTTGAGATGGAGTATCAATCACTCTGTAGCCCAAGCTGGAGCACAGTGGCATGATCTCTGCTCACTGGTGCCTCCGCCTCCTGGGCTCAAGCGATTCTCCCTGCCTCAGCCTCCCAAGTAGCTGGAACTATAGGTGCATGCCACCGCACCCAGCTGATTTTTTGTATTTTAGTAGAGACAGGGTTTTACCATGTTGCCCAGGGTGCTCTCGAACTCCTGAGGTCAGGCGATTCGCCTGCCTCGACTTTCCAGAGTGCTGGGATTACAGGCGTGAGCCACCACGACCAGCTAATCTGCTGCTTTCTAATGATCCTGCCGCCACTGAATGTGAAATGTAGCTCACATATGCCACAAAA